AAACAAAACTAGCCAAAGATGAAGACTTCAGTTATGTCCGCTGCGTCGAAAACATTCTTTCGGCAGACACAAAAGCAGCCAGGGCCATTTGCTTCAGCCTCAAACAGGTGCGTCGCCCACAGCTAGCTAGCTGGCTGGCTAGCTGGCTAGCTAGCTGGCTAGCTAGCTGGCTGGCTAGCTAGCTAACTAGCTAGCTGGCTAACCGGTATAGCCAGATAGCTAGCTAGCTAGCTAGCTAGCTAGCTGGCTATTTGACTGGCTGGCCAGCTGGCTAGCTAGTTGGCTAGTTAACTGACTAGCTAGCCAGCTAGCCAGCCAGCTAGCCAACTAGCTAGCGCGCCTATGACCGGCTGACCAGCTAGCTAGCGAGCTAGCTAGCTAGCCAACTAGCTGGCCAGCTAGCTAGCCAGCTAGCCAGCAAGCCAGCTAGCGTGCCCATGACCGGCTAGCTAGCTAGCTAGCCGGCTAGCTGCTGAGCTAGCTGGGGCTGTGCTGTGTGCTGCTTGCTGCTGCTGCTGCTGCAGCTAGCTGACTGCTTCCCGTGCTGCTGCTGCAGAATTTACGAAGCCCTCAAGCGAGCGGCACCAGCAGCAAAACAAACCCCCGATGTGCATGCAGCATTTGCCAAGTGTCTTCTTTGGCTAGCCCACAACATCCAATCTGTAAACCCTAAACCCTAAACCCTAAGCCCTAAGCCCTAAACCCTAGGGTTTGCAGCGCAGGGGTCCTTGAAAGCCTCGGCTTCGGGCTGCGGTCACTTGGGAGCGAGGGAAAGCAGCAGCGCCTAAACCCTAAACCCTAGACCCTAAGCCCTAATGCGAGGGTTTAGGGTTTGTGCTGCAGCTGCGGGGACCCCTGTGGCGTTTGCTGCTCTCAAGAATGGCAGCAATTGACTCCGAGATAAAACAAAAGGACCCAAACTCTGTCGACGCGGAGCAGCTCAGCGCCTGGAAGGTAGGGTTTAGGGTTTAGGGTTTAGGGTTTGGGGTTTGGAGTTAGTGGTTTAGTGTCTGGGGGTGAACTAAGGCATAGAATGAGGAGTTGGGACCTCAGGGTTTAGGGTTTACTAGGGTCTGGAGTTCAGGGTTTAAGGTTGGGGGTTTAGGGTTTACGGCGCAGGGATTAGGGTTTGGGGTTTAGGGTTTAGGACTCAGGGTCTAGGGTTTAGGGTTCTGGGCCTAGGATTTCGGACATAGGGTTTAGGGTTTAGGGTTTGTGCGTTTCAGCGGGAGCAGCTGGCTGAGCTATCTCTGCAGCTGCAGCAAGGCTGCGTGGGTTTGGAAGCAGTGCAGCAGCTGCTGCAGCAGCAGCAGCAGCTGCTGCAGGAGCTTTACTGTCGAGTCCGCAGCGAAGAAGACATAGACGCAATGGCGAGGGTTTTGGACAGTTTGATGCTGCAGGTCTTTTCTTTTTTGAAGGCCCGCTTAGCAGCAGCAGCGCGGCCTCGCGCTGCTGCTGCTGCTGCTGCTGCTGCTGGCAGCAGCAGCAGCGCAGCAGCAGCAGCAGCAGCAGCAGTGCAGCGCACGCAGCCCAGCAGCAACCCAGACTATTCGCCCTGCGCAGATGACTCGCCGCCGCTGTCGCCGGCGGGGGATTCCCCAGCAGCAGCAGCAGCAACAGCAGCAGCAGCAGCAGCAGGAGACCCTCTAATTGCAGATTTGTTCGAAGCATTTCTCAGAGTTGTGCTGCCAGTTCCCAGCTGTCGATACACCCAATTTGCTGTTTTCTTTGCTGCTTCTTTTGACCCCCAGGCGCAGCAGCTGCTGCTGCAGCAGCTTTTTCTGCTGCTGGCCAACAGACAAAGAAGCATCCGCCTCGTAAACCCTAAACCCTAAACCCTAAACCCTAAACCCTAAGGACAAACACACCCGTACTTGCACACTGCGGACAAGCTGCGCAAACGCCGGCAGCAACCTCGCTGCTGCTGAGCTGTGTCTGCTTCTGCTGCTGCTGTTGTTGCTGCTGCTGCTGCAGCGCCGTGCGGCGTGCTGTTACATTGCTTCCTACTTGTGCCGCGCAAGGAACCTCCCGCCCAGCGTTGCTGCTGCCGCACTGCAGCAGCTGCTGCTGCTGCTGCACCGAGGCTTCCTGCGCACGGGCGCCAGCCACCTGCAGCAGCAGCAGCAGCAGCGCATGGCTTTGCTGCAGGGCTCCTTCTCAGGAGAATTCGGTAAACCCTAAACTCTAAACCCTAAACCCTAGTCTACACTTCGGAACTCCCGAGCTCTACAAGGCCCGCAAGTCCCTCTTCTTCACCCAGAGCTCCTTATTGCCCCTGCTTCCCCGCTGCTGCTGCTGCTGCTGCTGCTACCGCTGCTGGTGCTGCTGCTGCTGCTGCTGCTGCTGTGCAGATAGCCCTGACTCGCCTTTGGCGCTGCTGCGGACTGTGGTGGAGTGTCTTTGCTACGGCTTGTGCTTCTGGCTGGACGAGCTGCTGCTGCAGTGCAAGTTGGGGTTTTTGCTGCTGCCTCCGTTTGACCTTGCTGCCGTGCTGCTGCTGCTGCAGCCGCTGCAGCAGCTGAAGCGCGGCATCGTCAGGCAGTTTGTTGCTGCCTGCAGAAGGGTAGGGCTCTTCGGCTCCCTAGAGGCCTACTTTGCTGCAGTGCTGCTGCACCACAGGAAGCAGCAGCAGCAGCAGCGGCAGGAGCAG